CCATCAAGCTCCCCTGCTTTTCATTCCATTTATCAGGGCCTGCTGCTCACTTTTTTCCATGCAACTTACAGTCAAAACCCATACTACCTCCTCAGTGTCTTGGCAGATTATTGCTACCTCCTCTCTGCCCCTGTGGTGTTGAGTTCTGGGGGTACGCTTAGTGTGTGGAAGAGATCGTATACACAGATATGTCACGGGGCACATGACTTCTGAGGAGAGGCCGAGGGAACGGGGCGGGGGGATTTGATAGCAGCCTTTAACTCCCTGCAGGGGGGCTGCAAAGAGGATGGAGCTGGGCTGGTCTCAGTGGGGGCAGATGACAGGACAAGGAGCAATGGGCTCCAGCTGCAGCAAGGAAGGTTAGGTTCGATATTAGGAAAAATTTCTCACTAGGAGGTGGTGAAGCACTGGAACAGGCTCCCCAGAGAGGTGGTGAAATCTCTGTCCTTGGAGGTTTTCAGGCTCAGCTTGACAAAGCACTGGCTGGGATGATGTAGTTGGGACTGGTCCTGCTGTGAGCAGAGGGTTGGACTGAATGTGACCTCCTGCGGTCCCTTCCAGCCCCTATTTTCTATGATTCTCTGATGAGGTTTGTGAGTAGCCTCGGTTATTTCCATACTTGTTAATACTTCATGCCCCAAAGAAAACAGTAAGGAGCTCTGGAGATCCTGGCTCTGTTTTTTGTTTGACCTTGGATGAATTGGTGGAAATTGCAGCACAATCTCAACAGGGGCTAACAGAACTTCTCCACTTTGCAAGAGGCATTCATGTACCACATCAACAGATAAGCTGGACAAATCAGAGAGAAAGTGAGGATTTGGCCAAACACCTGTGCAAATCCCTGTGCCAACACAATCAGCCTTTATGGACAAAATGGTTTGTTTTCATTGGGTTTGGCTCCTTTGGTGCTACTTTAAAGCCAAAAGGAAACAAAACCGTAGCTACTCATTACATTATCCTTAACTTTAGAGAGATTTGACAGGTTGCTTTCAAAACGAGGCTTACTCTGAAGAACTTCAAAATAGCCCCTTATGCTAAAATGTAGGTGCTTACACTTCCAGCTGCAGTGCAAACAAGTGAGCTGCCACCAGAGTATTTCCCTGTGCAGGGGAGCTTTCTAGTGACTCCTGGCTCTAAGGCACCCAGCCAATTTTCCTCGTGCTTTGAAGAAATTATTTCCTTTGCCTTCACCTGGTGACACTCAAGTCAAAAAGTAAAGATGAGGGGGAAGAAAGACTAAAGGAGTCCCATAAGCCTGAGTGAGAGAAGTGAAAAGCCAAAGTCATATCTGATCCCTTGGGTTCAGATCCGATCACCTGTCTGGGGCTTTTAGTGCTGTATCTCAGTACAACAACCCGAATAGGGCTGTACGTTGTGTTCATGCAAAACTCTCCCAGAAGCATGTGGCATAACGTAAGTGGCTGCGGTGAGAACACAGCAGGTTTTGCCAGTTTCTGTTTTCTTTGAGAGTTTCTGCTCCACAACCTGAGGTCAGGAGGGGCCTCCCGTGCCAGGTGCCACACGCCTTGTATATCTACTACTCACAGCTGCACTCAGCTCAAGGGTGACCTCAGCTGGTTGGAAGTGACCTTGAGTAAGGCTGGCATAGTGCTGACGGGTGTCAGGCAGCATTCAGAGGAGTCTTCAGGTCCAGCACAACCCCCCATGCTGGCCCATCCAGCTCGCAGCACAGCAGGGCTTCTGGCAGTCTCAGGAACAACCCTTCCGCGTTGCATCTGTGAGCAATGGTTTCTACCACTTCCGGCTGCTCAGGATACTCCAGCTGCACTGGCATCAGTTACTCACCCCCATGGCACTTCCCGGCTGGATGCCAGCAATGCAACATGCTCAGGCACGGTCTCTGCGTTTGCTAACCATCGCAGCCCACCACCTTTCCAACAGTCTACCGCAGGGCTTCTCAACCAGGGTGTGTCAGCACCCTGGGCGGGGGGCGCAAGGTCCTTTGAAGGGTGCTGTGCGCTATTAGCATTATGCGACTCACAAGACCAACCCAGCGATTTCAAATAGGAATCCACGGTGCCAGGAACATTCTGCCCCCGCAGCGGGCTCCCTCGGCTCTTCTCAGTAGAATTGTTCTAGTATTGATTGTTCCCATAGCCAAGACACGTGAAAGCTAAAAACTGGCATCTACAAGGGGCATCTAAATGCAAAAAGGCTGGGAACTACTGGTTTGCTGTGAACACATTCAATCTCCCCTCCCCTTGCAGACTACGCATTCAAACCCATCTTCACAACACTCAGCGAGCCAGGCTCAGGCTACCCACACTGCCTCCAGCTCTGGGATGAGCCTGTGGCCAAACAACTTCCCTCCTCTCCATGGTGGGGAGAAGTCTGGTCTGTACAGGGGACAGTCAAGGCTACAAACAAGCGCAGAAGCTAGCGACTACTTCAGACCTCAACACTTCCCACATTTCTTTTCCCTTGCCTTCACTAACACGTGTATTTGAGGCGCCACAGCAAGCACAGGTTCCCTCGAGAGAGGGCAAGAGCATGACAGGTGTCAGTCGCATTGTGAGATGCAGGCCGGCAGGCACTCAGGGCTTCTGTGATGAGCACAGTGATGATCACTGTGATGAGCACAGTGCTCAGACACCTGAGGAAGAGCCTGCGTGTCGAGCTAAAGGAAAATGATTCCTCCTTACTTAGCTGCTTTCCATGCTAAAAGCCACCAGCCCCGTTTCCCGCATACAGGCCTCAACCCTTCCTGGCCAGTGATAGCTTCCTCGTGATAGGCCCTCCTGAGTTGTCATTGCTGTATCTGTTTGTTAATGAGCTTCCAGCTTTGTCTTCTCTCCTCTTCTGAAACCTGGGTAACTACCTGTAGAAATCCTGCTTCCAAGTCAGTGACCTGCACTTGAGACACAAGGACGGCCTCAGCGCATGCGGGTTTAGACTGCCTTACAGGAGATGGTAGCCTATTTGTACATCTCTTCTGCGTTCACAAGATTAATTTTAAATGGAGGCGTTCAGCTTCCTGCTTTGCACTCACTCAGCGATTAAACAGCCATGCATATGGGAAAGGGTGATCCAGTGTTTCCTTAGCTCTTCAGGCTAGAGTAGTACTTCACTGTTTACATGAAAGGACAGTGCAGTGAAGACCTAACATTTACTCTGGTCATTGTAGGTGGTTTTAGTGACAGTAAAATTAATTTCCAGACTGTGTAGATCAACCTTAGAAGGTTCCTTTTCCTGAAGAGTACTGCTCTTACTCAAATCTAAGATGACCCCCACCTCCCCTTCGATTCAGGTGCAGGCCAGGCAAGCAGCTACTACAGCTCTGGACGGGGCCAGGGTGGCCCATGTGGTGGGGAAATGGTCATGAAATAGGGGGAGCATGGAAGAAGGGGGTGCACAGTGCAAGGGGGAGCACAGGAGAAGGGCCACCACTACTTCCTGGCCTGGTGCTCCATGTGCCCAGCAGAGATGGAGCCAGAGCAGCTGCAAAAGTAAGCAGCTGGTGGTAGGGGAGCAGGCACAAGAGGGGGACAAGTGGCAGAGGGATTGGGGGGGTGGGGCAGACAAGGGGTGTGGGGCAGACTGCCTGCCCCCCACCACCTGCTTTTCCTGTGGCAGTGGTGGATGAATTTAAAGGGATCCTCCAATCACTAGATTCTAGACCTGGGAAACTGAAACACATTTATAATCTTCAGAATTTTCTAGAGCCTAGTTATGGGGATTGTCTTAAATTCAAAGTCATTTTAGTTTCGAGGGGAAAATGGAAATGCTGTATTTACCTGAACCTGACGAGTCGGTAAGCTTGCTTTGACACGTACTTCCGCTCGGAGATCTTGGCATAAGCTTGAGGACAGAATGGTCTGAAATCCCAGAAGTGCGAAGGTAGAGATGAGATGCAGTGATAACAGATGTAAAGGGGAGTACTGACAGGTCCCCATTTTCTGTGAATTTTCTGGCCCCACCAGTCGGATGCTGCTTTCCTTCGGGTACGTGTCAGTGTAACTTGTAGGTCACTCTGGAGAGGAGCTCTTTATTTGCTTAAACCTGTGACTGTCCCTCATTTTCCCATTCACTCTACATGCAGTTGTCATCATGACATCTTACGTCAGACATGGAAAGGCATGAACTATACAATCCAGCCTAAGGTAGTCATGATGCCTGCTTCAGCATAGCAATGTCAGCTTTGTATTCTCTTCCAAAAACGTCACGTGGCCTAAGGCATTCAACCTCCTTCAGCTCAAGGAGTCTGAACACTGCTCAATAGGCTGGTGCGAAGTGGCTGGTATTCACTTTGGATTCAGCCGAATCAGGGGACAGCGATTTGACTCGGTGATTCGAATCAGTGTGTCGAATCAAACAGGCCCCATCCCCCACCTGCTCTCCCAGCCCTGTCAATGGCTGCCCTGCCTAGCCCCAGCATCCTGCCCCGCGCTGTGTAGGGGCTCTGCCACGAGCCCCCAGAGGCCGATGGCCACTGCAGCGGTCAGCGAGTGCAGGGCTTGCTTTCTTTTTTTAAAGGAGCCGGGATGCTGGGGCCAGGCGGGGCAGCTATCGACGGGGCTGGGAAAGCGGGCAGGGGATGGGGTCTGGCAGGGGTCCCCCCCATGCTCCACTCCTCCAGCTCCCGCCCCCTACTTACCAGTACAGAGTCCGGGTCAGCTCCCTGCGGCAGCAAGCGGGGACTGCCTGAATCGCAGAATCGATTCAGAGAGCTTTGAATTGATTTGGACTTTTGTACTGGTCTCCTGATTCGATTCGGACTTGGAGATTCAGCTGCCAAATTGGGCCGAATCTCCTCCAAATCAAAATCAGCACCTGAAGCTTCATACAGCCCTACTGTTCAAGACACTCTTTTATTTAGTATTTCAGCCACTGTCCAGCATCAAGACAATTAACAATACTGAGTGTCTCTAAACACTTCATTATCCTGGCCAGTACATGACCCTGGAGCTAAGCCATGGAAAACACTGGGAAATGGAAATAAATAAAAATACAATTGCAACTTCACTCAAGGCTTGTATAAATTCACATGTACAAGTGGAAGAACTTCAGTGTTTAATAAATGAAGTAATCACATCATGGACAGTTAAAAAAAATCCTTAAAAACAGATGTGATGCTTAGAAAGTAGCAGGAAATACTGTTTAGGTTGTGACTGCAGAACCAATTTCTTTCAAATGACAAAGTTACAAAAACATACAAATAGCTGGTCTGATAGAAACACAACACTGTTGCACCCAAAGTTGAGCATGCGTGCCCAGAACTCTTGGCTGGAACCAAACAGTTTTCAAAGTAGTCAGTGTAACTTCTTTCAGCAGCACAGTACGGAGCTGCTCCACAGAAGACAAGCGTGGAAAGACACGAGGGGTTCCTGCTCTCTTAGCAGGGAACGCACTGCCCAGCACCCTCACTGAAGAAGAGAAGACTCCATCCTAGGAACAGAGTCCATCTATCCCCTGCACACATCAAATTTATAGCATCAAGCAAACGACAGAAGTTAGAAAGAGCAGCAAAATTCATTCATTTCCCTTCTTTTGGCAAGAAGTGATCATTTCAGTCCACAGCATAAGGAAAAAACACCTGTGAAGCTTTGGACAACACAAAAAAGCCAAAATGCAATCCTAAGAATTTCCAAACTGAGAGCTATCTTGTCCTTTGCAGTGAAGTGTAAGTATTTAAGACTCGTGAAATGCGAGAGGACAGACAGATCACAGCAGGCTTATAGTGAGAAGGCTTTATAAGTCTGAGAGAGTCGACCATTTGTAGCACGCGCCCAATGGTTTGTCTCCGTGTCATAACAGCCGACGTGGATAACCCAGCAGCGGTTGGTTTCTGAGTCCTCCAGCACTGAATGAAGTTTCCATAGAGCTTCTGCTGCTCCTACAAGGTCACCTACTGCTTTGCAGGTATCTATCCAGGAACTGGGAATAACAGGTTAGGGAGCAAAAGTAGCAGACAATGGGTGCCTCTGTACCTCCCATGTTATCCACAAGGACCACGGTATGAGCTACGTGATGGAGATTCATGGTCACAGTTGTTTGAATGAAGCTGGTTAGACAAGCACTTCCACACTGACATGTTTTAGCCACTTCCAAGTCTTCACAGAGGTGGGAAGGAAGGAGATGATGACCATATGGGATTCTGTTGGGAAAGATAACTACGCATGAAAACACTGCAAAACGAACCCGCGCCAGCCAGATTCATTACAGCAGTGAAAAAACAAACAAACAGAATAACCAGCCCTCAGCAAGAGGAAGCAGCAGTGCAAGTTTGAAAACCCTCTCTCGCTGTACAAAGCTCAATGACTGTTCTGGCCGGCCGAGGAGGAGGAATTACCTGCTGTGCTTCTCCAACGCAGAAGTAAACAGAGTGGGGTCACATTCCTGACTGTCTGACGAAGACTCAGGAACCTAGCCCCAGAGACGCATCAAAACAAGAGCCACGGGGTCATGCTGGAGGAAAAGCCCAATGCGCTGGTAGGGCAGAGACACGATAAGAAGAGTGGCAGAGGAATGCAACAACTAGGCCACCCATCTGCCTTTGCAGTCAGATCTCTACGCGACTTCTCCCTTGCAATCCAGCCCTAACACTCAGAGGCGTCAGCATCTAACACAGGGGTGGGCAAAGTGGTGGATCCAGCTGGTGGCCAGACTCCATTTCCCAGCAATCCCTGCCCATGTGGCTGTGGCTGGTTTCCATGGAGACCCCAGTAGCAGCTATGCCTGGAGCCAGGGTTTCTGTGGAAATCATGTGCAGCAGCGCTGGCAGGGTGTGGAGCTGCTCCACAGTTGGGATGGGATCTTACAACAGTGACAGCATGGTCCAGAGCCAGGGCAGAGCCGCAATCTGCTGCCTGCATGCCCCTACCTGGAGCATACAGGCTGCAGATCGCGGCTCTGGCCCATGCTATCGCTGCTGCAAGATCCCAGCCCAGCTGTGGAGCAGCTCCATGCCCTGCGAGTAGGGGTGGTGCTAAGGAGGGGGGGGCTTTAACCACCCCCAAAATTTCCCATAGCCTCCACTCCCAGCACTGCTTCCACAGCTGCCCGCCCTGCACAGGTGGAAGCAGCTGATCCTGCCCCGGTCCCGCCAACAACACCCCCTGCCCCCCCGCCAGGAAGAGGTTGACACCCCTACTGCCTGCCAGTGCTGCTGGGGCTGATCTCCATGGAAACCCCGGCCCTGCACTATCCCTGCTGCTGGAGTCTCCATGGAAGCCAGCCCCAGCCACGTGGGCAGGGGCTGCTGGGAAATGGAGTCCACTGTCAGCCAGACTTTGCCCACCCCTCATCTAACATGTAGAAGACAGCAGTGTCCCAGAGGGCTTTACTCTGAGAAGACAAGCAGGAGGTAGGATTTTTATGAAGATGCCTCATTTCTTCGTACAGACAAATTGGTATGCCACCCTGGACATCCTTGCCACAGGCTCATGGCTGAGCTAACTGGTGCCACTGAAGAGTCCTGCTAGATCAAGAACCAGGACCAAGGAATGGCACCTTCTCAGTCTCCCTTCATTCCCTGAATTCAACTGGCAATGGGCTAGAGCAATTACACCTGCTACAGGGAAGAGGGAATTCCTGGTGTTGCCTTAAACTACCTTCTTTCACAAACACTGCAGGATCAACCGCAGTAGCACGAGAACCGTTTGCAGCTCAGACGTCTCTCTCCAGGCCTAGGTGGATGTAAGAGTAGGTGCTGCAGACTCCTGCCTAATCCACCCAAGAGGCAGTCCTTCGTGTGCACCGCACGCCTAGAACCCCTTGCCCCCGGCTGCTGCAGAATCTCTCTCTCTGGCCTAGATAAGTGCAATCTTGACTTGCTCAGTCCATCCTGAACACAGCTGGAAAGATGGTTCTCTCAGGCCATATCGCATCCCCCTTTGCATTCCTCCAGACTCGCCCTTGCCTAGTCCAGACCACACGTCATCTCTCTCAAAGCCCCTCAGGATTCACGCTCACCCACTGCACAGCTCATTCAATGCTGTTCAGCTCAGGAGTTAGCTGCACAGCCCAAGACGGCATCTTAGGTTGTCAAACAAACACACAGCCTAGCCCCCTCCAGGTGGGGAGGAGCCCCTTGTAAACATTCCCCTTCACTCTCCTTTATCAAGATGCCCGCAGGCTGCTGACCTGCTCCGATTACTGCTGACCAAGGGTTTAACCTTCCCAGCTCCCATATCTATCTCCTGCCTCTTATCTAACAGGCTAATGGTTCTCTTGAGCAGGGACCATCTCTCTGTTCTACATTTCTGTACCAGGGCCATGACTAGGGGTTCCTAGGCACCACAGTGAAACAATTCAGTAACTATGAAATCCAACTGCCAGTGTAGCATGGATCCTATTTGAGTTGCTGACTCTTTCTAGTATGCTCCGTTCTGTTTGCAGTCCCACACTGTACAGCAAAAGCTTTGTTATCTGGCATCCACGAAGAATGGGGGGTGCCGGATTACAAAATATGCCAGGTTAACTGGGAGGCCAAACAGGCGTCTTTGCCTGTTCGGGCTGCCACCTCTCCCGCCACATTCCCACCCCTCCTGCAGGCCCTGAGGGACAGGGAGGTGGGCCCCACGCAGGCTGCAATGCCCTGGGCCGTGGGAGCTCGGCAGCGCCGGCTGCTTTGCCTTGGGCCATGGGAGCTTGGTGAAACCCGAAGTGCCATTGTGTGTACTTCGTTTTGCTTTTGCCTTATAAGCTGACATGACGGTTAACGCAGCTTTTACTATAGTTTGGAGACGGTAAACTGGTTTGCAGAGCTTTGCCAAAACTATGTACAAACTCAGCTGGGAAAGCGGGTGTCTGGTAGTAGAACTGGGAACCAGATTTCCGCTAATCAGCAAGCACACAGTGGAGGGCCCTGGACACCTACACATACTGGTCTTGGAGTTCATGTTGCAAGTGACCACGTGCTTTAAGTTTTATTTTTTTTGGAGAAAGATTCCCATGTTTCAGGACCTACATGTCAGTCTTCACCTGCTTCTGCCTCAATGCCTTGTGTTCCACCTGCCTCACCTCCCAACTAAGCCCAGCCCCTTACTCCTGCGTGGTCTTGTCTTATGACACAGCAACTGCAGTATTTCCCATACTTTTCCTCTCCTAAGGGCTTTTGTGAGCATAGCTGCTTCACCCCTAATGCTAATGTTATCATTTGTTTCTCAGGCAGCAGTCACTAGAGAGCTGCTACAGAGGCAGGCAGACAGGAAACTCTGGCTTTGCACCGAGCCTATTCATGTCTGGCAACACACAGGACAACAGTTATTTTAACGATGTCAGAGATGAGGTTTGTTACATTAAAGAGGAAACCCCCATAACCTGCTCCCTAAAGCCAACAAGCCATCTGATGTCCCCAAAGCCAACTAGCTGTTCAAGAAAGCCAGCAGGAAGACAAAGTCCTCAGTGAATAAGTCATGTGAATTATGACAACATATTCACGTTCCAGTAAGCCGCATCACATTTAACCACTACTTGGCTCCTCTGGGGTGCTGTCCACACCAAAAGCAGAACAATGTTAAAGCACTGCGGGTGGCTATGGGTTCATTTATGGGTTATCCTCTCGTCATTTCTGAAGGCAGTACATTAGCAACCTAGGTTCAGGCTAGCAGATTTATGTACTTTGGTTATAAAAATGTAGTTCGGGGAATACAAAGATGAGTGGCAACCATATTTGAAAGCAACTTCAAGCCAGGAGCCTGGATGAACTATCACCCCACTATGAATCCTCCATGTGTAGTTTCTTGAGCAGTGGAGAAACGTGGAAGTTGCTGCCTTCTTGCGACTAGGCCGGTCTCAATACTCCGACAGCCTGCAAGCTTTTTCCCCAACACTTTTCAAATCATCAAATTACAAATAAAGCAATCTCAGACTTGCACTGATATTACACCGAGTGTTGAGAGGCAAACTCACAAACTGCACTGAAAGCAAGCTTTTTTGTTACACTGCAGTCTATTATAATTGCTCCCAATATATTTAAACCGTAAGATTAAACCTGCCAAGTTATTCATCAAAGCAACAGACCAATTACTCTTATTCTTACCTGTAATTTATTGTTGCTCTTGCTGCAGACTCTAATAAAGTTAATGGTATTTTTAGCTGTATGCTGGGAACAAGTGGATTAGGCTGCTCAAAGGGGTTTCCAAAGAGATCCAGGTTCTCAAGAGACAGCTTTCTGAAGTCACTGGGCAAAAAAGGGAGCTTATTGCGGGCTGCTGACAGGAAGCGCAGTTGACTTAATTGGCCCATTCTGAACGGCAACCTGATCAACTCGTTGTCATCCAGCTTTAAATGAACGAGCTCTCGCAACTGACAAAACTGGATCGGAAGCGCTTTAATTTTATTCTGGCTGAGGTCCAAGAGCTGGAGAGACTTCTGAAGTGTGGAGTTGCACAGAGCCACACTGAAGGACTCCAAGTGATTGTCGTGCAGGTGAAGTTCCTGCAGGCAGACGAGGTCACCAATAGTTGCTGGCAACTGTTTGATATGATTGTGGCTCAAATCCAGTTTGAGGAGTTTCTTCAGGCACAGCATGCGCATGTCAACTCGGGCAAGCTTACAGTACGAGGCCTGGAGGTGCTCGAGGGAGTAAGGGAAGTTCTTGGTGAGCGGGTAATCTTTCCGTGATGTGATGATCATCTTCGTTTTAGGTTTTTCAATTTCTGACGTCTTTGCTGGTACCAGGGCTGCAAGTGGCAGTGCTTCAACATCAGTACCTCGGTGAGCCAGCCTCACAGCTGAGAGGAAGTTTTTCAAATGGCTGGCATTCGCCTACAACAATCAAAGAGTAGGAGAACATTTTAGTTTTACACCTTCTGCATTTCTGCTAGCACTTTCCGAACCATTTTGTACACAAGAGCATGTCAGGAGACAGAGTCAGCAGAGTAACGAAAATGGTGGAGGGCTGTTTTGCATTCAGGCTTGTTTTGCATTCTCTATTCACTGTGTTCAAGAACAAATGGCAGGAAAATGGAATCAAAAGTTCTGACCTCTTTGACTCAGCCAGGCCAAACGAAACCTACTGTATAGCCCCAAAACGAACAAAACACAGAATCTGTCGCTGAAAAATGAGTGCTGGAAAAGGACAGCAAGTCCCAGAGGGGACAAGATAAAATGGCTTTTTGTACAGAAACCTGCACAAGGTCAAAGGGGAGACAAAGATTGAATGCTATGGAGGCAGCAATTTCTGAAGGTCCTAGAAAGAAAAAAGCAGCGGGGTTGGCATGTTGTGTTTAAGCAGAGCGGAATAACTGGAATAACACTTGTAGAGCAAAGGAGATGCCAAGACAGTTTAAGTGATTGCTCATAGTCATATAAGCAGCCTCTTGTAGAGCTGGGGTCTTATCATATTTACTCAAATCCAAGATGAGTGCTGCCTCCCCTCCTCCCCAGTCCGCATGAGAAAGAAAGCCCTTCATCTTAGATTCAGAGAAAAGTGGAAGGGGGAAGGGAGGAGTTTGCTGCAGTTCTGACAATGGCCCCGAGCCTGGGTTGGGGCCAAAGTCAGACCCACAGCATCTGGCTGCCCATCCCACCCCATATATAGAATCTAATTATTGGGGGGGAGGAGGGATCTTAAATTCAGGGTCATCTTGGATTTGGGTAAACACGGTACTACTTTCAGCCGCGTGTCTGAAACTAGTGACCATCCTCGGTTTAGCCACGTCTGCGATGATGGTGATTTACCGTGGAGAGATCCGAGTAAAGATCCAGCACAGTTTTAATATACTTGGCAATCAGTATTGGAATAATTAAGGCTACATCTATGACACCTAACCCATTTTCCAAGCATTCCAATACACACACACCTCAGCTGGCATGGTCAGTCACTAAGCTACAAGGCACTTAGAAAACAGAAAGGAAACAGACAAGGCGCTCGCAGAGACGGCACTCACCCAAAAAGCAGGAGAGGAAGGAGAAATGTTCTGGTCATTCAGGCACTGTGCTATGACAGATTTGCTCAAGCTAGTGCACTGATCTACCTGCTTCAGTTCTCCATCTGTAAAATGATGAGCAGCTTTCCAACCCTTCATGCTTGTTTAAACTTCTGTAGAGCAGGGAACTGCCTCTTATAATGTGTCTAGGCGCTATTGTAATACAGGCACCAAACTGAGTTTGGTTAAGACTGCAGGAGGGCCAGATCAGTCTGACCACATTGCTAGCAGTATGACCGGCCAGCTTATTCAGCCACCAGGCATCTAACGACAAGTCATTCCCAATGTGATGTCATGCACGCTGTTCTGTCACGTTGCACAGCTCAAGCAGATCTAAACTCTCAGGCCCACCCCTTATACTAACGCCTAGGAGTCTCACAGGTAAGCCTTGAGTCAACTGCAAAGAGATCCAAGCTCAGGGCGTAACTCTGTTTTGAACAGCAAATCAAACTGGATTGCAAGATCCTCAAGACCCGTAGAGATAAGGTGCAACTTCACACCAAAACAGAAGTAACTATTAATACTACCTTTGCTCTTGCACCAAGGGTCACAGTGGATGCTCACTTCTGAAGGGTAATAAGGAAGCTAGGCTATCACAAAGAAATTAAATTGTTCTGTAACCTGAATGACGAAATCTTGTCTTCAGTTCCCTCAAGAAAAAAAAAAAATCTCGCCACAAAAAGGAATCTGTGAGCAAAGTTCAAGACCCCTAAACAAGGTGTTGTTTGAAGGACAAAAACAGGTCTATAAAACAGGCAAAAAAGGGGCAGTCGGGGACAGGGTTCTGCAATAGTCACTATGAAATGGAAAGGATGAAGTAGACATTCCTTGCACCTATCAGACTTTCATGCAATGCTGCAGGTACAAAAAGAATAATAGTCTCAAATAGTCTCATACTGCATCATCTTTTGCTACAGGCTTTTAAAGTCCTAGTGAATTGCCCGTCAAGAATGACATGGGGGGGAAACAGGGACAGGACAGAGTGCTGCCACCCACCACCCCGCCCTGCCGGTGCCCCCCAGGAGCTGGGGGGGGGGGGGGGGGGGGGGGGCCGTCCCCCCCCCCCCCCCCCCCCCCCTGCCCGGGCCCCCCAGGGGCTGGGGGGGGGGGGAGGAGGGGCTTGTCCTGCCATCCCCTCCGCGCTGCCTCTGCCTCCTTGCCCCCATTTCTGTTCCCTCTGTTGCTGCCGCTGACAAGCAGCCAATCAGAGTGTGAATAACACATTACGGACAGACAGACTTAGGCTTTTATAATGTTAGGATAGAACTAGACAGGTGTTCCAAAGAACTGCCCAATTCAGACAGAAGAGTTCCTAGTCTACAACAAAAGTTGTAAGAGGGGACCAGAAGGGGCAGGAAAAATTCTGGGCAGGAAGACTGATTAAGTTGGATTTCTTGCTTTAGGAGAGTTTAACCCATGGCAACACCAGCTCTTGAAGTATTTCAAGCGAATGGATTCCTAGAGCCCGAAGCGCATTCTGGACGTGACAATGCTTCCACCAGAAGCACGATCCTTCATGTTTAAAATGGGGACTCCATCTAAGCCACTGTTGTCAATTTTGGGAAAGATCAAAGCAAAAAAGCTTCTCGTTCACCCCGGGTTTTAAACTTACCATATGCACAATCTACCTTCAATGACTTGGAGGAAGCCCAACATTAACAACAAAGTGAATTCTATGGGGATGCTGCAACCTAGACTGAAGGAGGAACAAGCCCCACTTGGCTGGGATGGTTTTAGTCAGGGATGTGCCTGCCGTGAGCAGGGGTTGGACTAGATGACCTCCGAAGGGCCTTTCAGGCAACCTTCCCAAGGGGTCTAGGAAGGCAGCCAAGCGGTTTCATGTGGTGCACATAAACCACCCCCCACGCAGACCTCCAGACCCACAGAGAAGCATCACCAGTATCTGTTACCTTGATTTATGTGTCACCAATAGCCTCCTGAGCAGCTAAGGTGACCTTCAGATGTTTGCTTGGAGGGAAAAGAGAGACTCTTACTCTACCCTTTCAGGATGAATGCTCAAGCAGGAGGAGGCTGGTTCAGAATACAGAACGGCCCCCTGCTTTTGTGAAATACAATGGGAGAAATTTTCATGGCAACAGCTTCACCCACTGGTAAGTCGAGTAGAATCACAGGCTCGTTGCTTCAGCTAGTGCAACGGCTCTGTCTACCTGGAGCTTGACTGATCCCTTTGCTACTATATAATATGTGGAAAAATTCTGACACCAGCAGCTGTTTGCATTTAACAAGAGGAGACGGCTTCCTTTTGCCAGTGTGGCTTTTGCTCTCTTGTGGATGATAATGTGATGTTTAAGCAGTTATTCACTGTACCACACTCCAGAAAGCCTCATCTAGAGCACCTTGATTCTGGCTAGGGCTGCACAAACAGAAACATCCAGAGAAAGGGAACCCCGAAGCAAAAGTCTAGAGACCGCTACCTCTAGCAGCCGCACTGAAATGAAAGGCTGGCCCAGGACGAGGCTACCCAGGACTGGAACCGAGGTAGATTTTCCTGGGTCAGGGCAGATTTACCTCTGTTCAAGGGGATTGCCCAACTTGGTCACACGTATTTCCTTTGAGGTACTTGGGGGTTTTCTTGGGATATCCCAGTCGCATACCCAGGATCTCAGAAAGCACTGCTGCCAAACAATTAAAGGTTTTCCTTCCTGACAGGGCAAAGTGGCAAAAAGTGAGCGTCTTGAAAGACACTGCCCCAAAACCATGCCAAAAAAGACAGGAAATGACCCTCTTCTTTCCTACTTGTTTGTACCTGTCAGTGCTACAGCCTCTGGATAACAGCCTCTGTCCCTACAACAAGCATTCATTTGTCAAGGGCTGCTCGTGCTGTTCACGTGAAAGGGGATTTCACCTTTTCTGTAACTCTAGCACAGCTACTTTCTTGTTCACAAGGACGTTAAGCTTTTTAATTCAGCTTAATTCCTTCAACGACTGTGCTTCAGAGGCAGGATATATTTTCTCATGCTGAGGATACACGAGTACTGTATTCACATCAGTGACTATGGCCTCCTACGGCATGCCTAGCCAGCTTGAGCACCAGTAGCAGTTGAGCCATGCCAGCAAGGATCTCAGTGCAAGGCAGCACCTTCCTTCTCAGGTGGGTTTTGCAGTCCACAGGCTTCTGCAGCTAGACTGCCACTGGTACCCGAGCTACCTCGCTGAAAGCTAGTGCAGGTACATCTGCTCTGCAGCGCAGCGCAACCACAGCTGGAATCCACATCAACGTCGCGAATATGTGAAGTCACGATCACGTAGAAAAATGGAACGGCTCCTGAAACAGGCGGCTCGTCTTTTTGTTTACTACCACAAGTCATTTAAAACTTTATAAAATAATCTCCTGTTTCCTTTCCGTAACAAGGTTATGAAAGAGGGAAGGAAAAACTGTTGCCTGGAAGACCGAATAAGCTGGATTTCATGTTTATCCTTAGAAAAACTGACAAACTTCTCAGTTCGCGTTGTGGCTAATTATTCACTCTGAACAGAGGTGTCCTCTATAACAGGGCTGCCCGACTTCGAAGGGGCCGAGGGCCGCACGCCCCTTCCCCTGCCCCGCACACCCAGGCAGCTTCCCACTGCACCCTGCACCCACTGCAATCCTGGCCTCTCCCTGCCGCACGGGACACAACTCACCACTAGTTCCCTCCAGCCTGTGGGCTCCCCTGGCAGGCACCAGAGGGGAATTTGGAGGAGGGGGGAACCTGGAGCCCCTGGTTGCTACTGCAGCCAGAGCAATACAGGAGCGGTGTCCAGGTGGGAGCCCAGAGGCCCCAATTTAACCCCCCTGCTCGCTGGGCAACCCTGTTTTCTAAGAACAGACAAACACACCGTTTCCTGTCTAACTCGCTGGGTTAAGAGTACACATTCCCCGCTGGCCACAGACCGACGTGGAAATGTCATTTGCAAGGTGCTGGAGCAGGCTCGGGACTGTCACGAGGAAGCGAGAACGGGCCGAGTCACCTCCACTGACTCGCTCCCGTACCTGCCACCGTCACCGCCACCGCCGTCCGTCCCGCGCGCTTCCCCGTCCGCAGCACACGTCGCACAAGCATCACGCCTGGGAAACGCAGCTAGTGCCAGCGGTGCCGGCAGCCAGCCCCAGCCCCAGCCCCAGCCCGCGCTAGGAAGGCTGCGGGGGCCGCGCCAAGGACATTGGGGGCGCTCGCTTTTCCAGCGCGCGACAGGCGCTCCCTTGCTAAAAAAAGGGACGTCCGACACGCGCCCGCCGCTCTGCCGTGCCCCCAGCGGCACCCGCAGACAAGCACGCACGTCGAGCGGAGAAGCCGAACACGGCGCCCCCGCGCCCGCGTACCTTGCTGAGACGGACGTCCACGGCGGGCTCCTTCAGGCGGACGGTGGCTTTCCCCTCCTCCACGAACCTGGTGAAGAACTGCTCGATGTTCTCCTTCAGCTGCGGGAACGGGAGAGGCCGCGGCGGGCGGTCACGACGCAGCACCCGCACACGCGCCACAGGGCCCGGGGGCCGCGGGCCCTCGCCCTCAGGGACTGGGCGCACGCGGGACAGGCTGCAGGGGCGGGGCCTGCTTGCACAGGGGCGGGGCCTG